ATATTTGCAGCTTGAGATCTTCAATAAAGTGAAACATCAAAAGTACAATGACGTTTTTGGAATTCAAGTTGACGAAGTCTCTGATGTGTCTAATAAAGAGCAGTTTGGATTGGTGATACGATATCTTGAAGATGATTTGTAATATCCTGTTATTTAGTCTATGGTCAAAAATACTCAATATTGTTAATTAGTGTTACCCGTAATTGTGTGTCTCGTGTTCATATTGGTTTTGTATTTTATCTTATGTGCAAATATTCCGGATTAATAAATATACATGTAAACCCGCCAAATTTGCAGAGTTTTCCTTTCAAAATATAACATTGGCGACGAGGACAAATTGATATGACCATTATATATCTAGCATTACTGGCAGAAATCAGCTTTTGATACCTGCCGCCATTGATGGCAAGTGAAATAATAACCTTTATCATCAAAATAATTTAGGAATATATATATGACTGGACTGTGTCCAAAATCTTTGTTCAACATTTAGAATGTAGTCACTAAAATGGTAACAATGTTAGTGGTAATGATACCACCATTAGCATCACACTTCAAGACGATAGAGAAATTATTGATTTTACCTTATGGTGGGAGATTGCAGTGGAGAAACGTATAATTGGGAAAATTTTGAGCATATCCCACCGCCTTCTTATGGTGTTTCCACCCTCACAATTTTAATGGTTCAAAGTACAAAAACTGCATTTATTTTCATTTAATATACTTTATATATTCCAATTATTGCAAAAATGAATAGGTCACCTTATAATTTAAAATGCAAAACATAATAAACGGAGGTGTATGTCAACATTACAAATTTGCACTTTTGTGCAAACAGTACTATGAAAAATATGTAAAAACTGGTTAAAATGCATTTTTATGATACTGAATGTTCCTAAATACTTCCTGCTTATAAAATAATTTTGAATTGTGAATATTAAATTTTGAATTGTGAATATCAGGGAAACTTGACAGAATTACTGACGACATTGAGAAACGTTCTTTTGAAGTATAAAAGCTTAAAGTTCAAGAATTTTCCAACGTCTTCGCTGTAGATGAACTTGATCTCGGAAACTTCGACGAGATCCAGCACCGAATAGATACTGGTAATGCGCCTCCCGTTTAGAAGCGGGTGAAGAGTTATTGAATCTGGCATTTACCCCTGCGCTAATTGGTGAATAACCAGGATGCGCTTATTGGTTAAGTCCACATTGAGAGTTTTACATTTGAAAATTACAATTTACAAAGAAGGGAGGGCATATTGCTTTGCCGCTGTCTGTCGGTTAAATCAGTCTATCTTTCTGTCAGTCCACCAAGTTTCTCTTCATTTTGAAAGAAATTTTTAAAACTAAATGATTTTAGGATAAAGAACGGATAATTTTCCAAGAAAATGGACTGGAAGTATCCAGGGCAACAACAGCTGGGACCACAACAAGGCCTTTGGAGTTAAGTGCTGGACCCATTCCCCAGCCTGAACTAGTTTCCATGGTAATGTAATAAATTTAGGTCATGAACTATTTTAATAAAAGCACATTATGCACTATCAAGTATTTCTCTCCTGTCAATACACGTACGGAAGGAATATAGAGTAATGGATATATTATTGTTTAGCAAAATAGGTTTGCAGTCTCTACATATTTAAATTTTAAGGATTGTATACTGTTTAACGTCCCTATCCAGAATATTTCACTGATATGGATCTTTAAAGGAGGACAGTAGTAAAGGGTACATTATACAGTCAACATTTTTTTAAAATTAGGTGAAGGTCATAAATTTAGGATGATGTTTGGAAATGCGAGGACAAACTTAAAGATGAGGAAGCGACAACAAAAATTGTAAATCTTTAAAAACTTAAGAATATACAACTCTTATCGTGCTTATAAATATCACAAATCTATTTAGACTTGAGGTAGCTCATTATATGGTACACTTAAGATTTTGTAATTCCATAAGCTTTATCAGATAATTTTAGTTTCAATCAGTTGTGTTTGGTATAATTTGTTTTTATCATCAATGAAATCACTATTTTAGCTTAAAGTTCCCATGCCCATTGGTGGAGAGAACATGAAGAAAACAGTCAGGAGATTACTTGCCTACATGTTTGCCAAGAAAGTCGCCAGGGAAATCAACTGGATGGGCAAAGGAGGGAATCTGGCCTTTTCAAAGTTAAATATTAAGGAAGTTTTAACAAGTTAGGAAATTAATATTTAAATTTACAATAAATAAAATATATATTACCAGCATATTAAACTTATATTAATACACCTTTTCTTTAACATTTAATAAGCATCATTTTTTAACTTGAAATTAATTCATGACAATTTTCTTTTAAAGGAGCTGTTCGCGTCAACCGCACATTTGCCGAGTCAACACAATGAGATTAACAATTGTATTAAAGAGTGGTTTAGATATGCATGTGAACAGGAAGAGGACCATATTCCCAAAATGAAGAATCCGAAACAACGAGAATATGAGGCATTTGTAGTAAAAAGGTTCCAGATGATAACAAAGAAATGACCACTAGTAACCATCCATCTGAGCGAGAATTAAATAACTAATGACGATGAGCTGGATAGTTTCTCTTTTACCACAACTATCTATCAACTACATGTAATATTTAATGTTCTGACACACATAATTACAAGAAACATATTGACGCAAGCGTCAAACATAGGCCGCAAACCAATTAATTCTTTCATAATACATGTACAATTAGAAACTAAATTCTTATATTTAACTGTAAATATATATCCCTATGACATTAAACATTTGAATGCGACATTTCAGAGTTCTTTAGTGCATAATACCTGTACATTGCTACATGTACAATGTATTTAAGCAACTTACTCATAGGCCTCTGCGTCCCCGCACTCAGTTTCATTTGTACAAACGAACTCTGGCGGAAGTTTGATGTTTAAGTAGTTTTAACACTTAACCATCAAAACTAACGTTTAAACTTATCTAACTAGAGATAGTTTAACTTTAAATAAAACGTAACAACTATGTGGGGCTCCTCGCTCGCTCAGACGATGTTGAAACCCCCAAATTCCCTCTAGATCAGCCACTACATTTTTTCTCTATCTTGTTCTGGTGTGAGATATGGCGGGAAAAGGCTTGGCATATTGTAAAACGCGCTTTTTCCTTGTCTGTTGGAGAAAAATCTCCTAATAATCTATCTGATAAGTCATATTTTTGAAAACTTTCCGTATTAAAAGTACATTGTATATTTATATTTACACGTCATTTTAAATTATATATATACGAGGGTTGTCCCGTAAAATCGTGGACAAGTTGTCTAGTTTGAAAAATAATCATCACTGCGTTCTGAAATTTTCACCACTTTTTAGTAGATAAATTATAAATATACACAGCAAATTTCAAATAGATATATGCATAGGTAAACAAATTGTGATATTTTATGTTATGTACTGTATCGCCCTACGGCGCACGGATGATAACGTCAAAGTGTCTAAAACAGCGTCACGTTTCATCTTTGCTAAACTTCAAGTTGGATAAACCCCACTTAAATTTATAAATTTTATTGATTTACATATGTGAGTATCTATAACCAGTTAAGAAACCAATGTGGCACACTCATGCGATCTTCTAAATATTTATTAGCAAGTTACAGACAGTATTCTCACCATTATTCAACTAAAAGAGAATCTCACATCGACGGTCGACAGTGACAGCGTCCTTTGCTATTACAAATGGCAGTCTGTCAATATATTTTGTAATATCTGGGGACTCGACCACGAAGACTTCACTAAGAAAACTTTCATTTCATTTATATACTAAAGATCTGGTGATATTTTTCATATTTTCTTTCTTCTGTATTCATTTAAAGTCTCTTAAGGCGTCATTACAACATCCTTATCTATCTGAACTGCTCTCCGGTGCGCCGTAACGTCATAAAAAGTCGCCATTTTTCGTGTATTGTGTTTATTACTTTCCCATTTCAAATGCTCGGGAAACTGCAAAAAATTAACCAAATGCCTTGAATTTTTTAAAAAGACGACAGAATTGATTAAGGAATGGAATTAGGATAATTTTTATCCTAATCTTATGTATTGAAAACTTTTATTACGAATTAATTTTTATGTCTTCTCTAATATAACCTTGCTATTTTTACCGTGCGCCGTAGGACCGTACCTTGTGCACATTCAAGCAGAATAAAATCTTTATTTTTGAATATATATTATCAAAAACATTATGATTCACTCAAATATGATGAATGAACATTTACTGAAAATTTCAGCTTAGTGCGCCCATTACTTTTCGAGAAAAACGCTTTGTCCACGATTTTATGGGACAACCCTCGTATATATACAACAAATCCTGTTGATTGATTGTTTGTTGTTTAACGTCCCTCTCGAGAATTTTTCACTCATATGGAGACGCCACCACTTGCCGGTGGAGGGCTACAAATTTTGTCCTATGCTCGACACTCAGGGCCTTTGAGCAGTGAGGGATCTTTTTCGTGCCAGCACCTACTGCGACACGGGGCCTCGGTTTATACGGTCTCATCCGAAGGACCGGTCTCCACGTCCCACAGTGGGATTCGAACCCGCGACGTAAGGATTGACTCCTTACTTCGCGACTCTAGAGCAGACGCTCTAACCACTGCGCCACGCGGGCGACACAAATCCTGTTGAAGGAGAGAACGTGTTTAGACATATATATAACGCGGCCCTTGCTTTAGACCATCCCCAACATGTGTGCTTATTTCTCCGCACTTCAGTTACGTCGGAGTTTGTCAAGCAGAATTGGATGAAACATTTAACCCATTATTTTTAAAATTTTAATTTTATGATTATTGTGCGTTTTTGTTTAACATTTAAAAAATCTTTCTTAATATTCTATTACATGAATGTTAAATATTTTTATTCAAATTGTTATAACTCCGCAGAAACGCCCGGCGACTTAAGGGTCCTCCACACCATGTGACTTGTGACGTATATAAAGATAAAATACTTTTACTTCCGGTTTTTACCGAAAAAATGTATGAACAAATTGTCCTGCCACCGTTTGTAAACAAGGAACACATGGAGTGACCGATGAAAAGAACGTGCGGCCGGTAATAATAACAACTCTAATTTCGATACTGTAGAGCCCCGTGGGGATCCGGGTTAAAATAGGTCCTCAGTACCCCCATGCGAATCGTAAAAGGCGATTAAATGGGGCGGTCCTTCGGATGAGACCGTATAAACCGAGGCCCCGTGTCACAGCAGGTGTGGCACGATAAATATCCCTCCCTGCTCAAAGGTCGTAAGTGCCGAGCATAGGCCTAAATTTGCAGACCTTCACCGGCAATGGTGACGTCTCCATATCAGTGAAATAATTTGAAGAAGGACGTTAAACAGTATACAATCAAACGATACTGTATATTTCTGGTAAAAGTATATCAAGTTATGCAATACTGACGTTTAGAGGAAACGTACAGTAACTATTATATTGAAATCACAGGTAATAAAAATACTGTAAATATAAGTGTCAGTGATATTTGATTATATATTTTAAATATTTACAGGATAATGCAACAGACATTCCCATCACGAGGCGTCGTGAGCCGCAAGCATCTACCCCTATGGAGAGAAGTTCCCGTCATGCCAGCAGCACGGATTCCTCGTCAAACTACTCCATCAACTGCAGGCCTCTCTATCGCAATCTGAACATTTGCATCACCATCAGCAGCGTCAACCCCAATTTTGTCAGTTCTACCATTACATGTAATAAGTGATAAGACCAACTTCATGAGCACGATTTCCGCTCAAATGAAAGGGCTTCAGACGACTGTCAACATTTTACGGCAGACACTAAGCTGGACGCTGCCAACAGGCGTATCATCCGACTTGAGTCCCTCATCAAAGACGAAAGCTAAGAACGCGAGGAATCTCCTGAACAGCTCCAGGCAAGGGAACTCCCAGACGAAGACTTGAGCAGGATCCCCAAAGATCTACGGATGGAAGAACCGATCTTGACTACCCTACAGCGAGAAACCGACAACCCGGCCATTGAGAATAAGATGTTCTCCACTGGACAGAAATCTTATTACAATTGGTTTGGTGGTGGATGGAAGGGAAAAGAGGAGCTAGACGGGAGAAAGAAAAGGGCCATCGAAACTTATGTTGAACATTTCTACCCAGAGGTAAAAGATGCTGCCGTCTGGAGAGACCGTGTTGTGTCCAGAATCAACGAATGTCTTTGACGGCCAAGGAAAGCCAACAAAGAAAACGTTAATCCGACATCCGAGGTGAACCCACAGCCGACTGTACACAAGCCCAACTGTAAGCGTTGACCCCAGAGAATAGCAGTCGTTGTCGGCCAGGGGACCCCACCGCAACCTTGCTTTTGCTTAGGTATCGTTGTGCATCATTATGCACTTTGTTTTATTGTGATGCTGTGGCATCACCGTGCACCATATTGCACTTTGTTTTATTGTGATGCTTTGGCGTCGTTGAGCCTCAATATGCATCTTTGTTTTTGTTATATTTTGCATTGGCTGTGCAATATTATGCATCCTTGTTATTGCGATGTTTTGGCATTGGTTGTACATCATTTATAATATGTACTCTGCTTCTGTTTATTAATACGTTGGTACTTAATCATTTTGACGAAAATTTCAAAATTATTTGTTGCTGCATTATGAAGTTGAATAAGCAAACACATAATATAACTAGAAAGTCTGTTATTGCACGTAATAGCTTATGTCGTCCTGAACTGGATAAGATCTTCATTTTTTTTTTTACATCACTAAAACAATACCCATTATAGCTAAGTTTGGAAAACCATCAACTCGTATCAGTCCTTTTAGTACTTTGATTTAAAAATCAGAGAATTTTTTTTCACTTTCCAATTTTAAAATCCACTGAGCACAATTACAGATACTAATCATTACCTCAATAAAATTTCATGACGAATGTTCAAGGGACCAGAGAGAACACTCGCGGACAAAATTCGTTGCTTTTTGCAGGTTTCCATGGCAACGGTAGCCATTATGAAACTGAATGACCACACAACACAACTACAACCAGTGATCCTCCTTTGAGGAAAGTTTCAGGAATATTGTTCCAGCCATCTCCGAGGAACAGCTTGTATAACAAAAACATGCGTACAATCGCAATATATCGTCCCCGACTTCGTTCGGGACGACATAATTATAGTCAATTTTTCACTTATGAATATTATATTACAGTATTCCTCATTCCTTGGTATAAATTTCCTTTTTAGCATTATCAGTTACAGTTTTGGTTTCTTTACTAATACAAATGTTATTTATTTCTTGAAATACATAGTATTCTAGAAGAAGAAAAGAAAAGTTCAACCAAAGTGTCAATTAGATGCTCCTGGAAGAAGGGCGAGGAATGTCAGCAAAGCCAAAGCACATACTGCTGTAGAGGCCAAAAAAATCTCAACTGCTGACGAAATTGCTACGGCATTAATCTCCAATCTAAGCAGAAGCCAGGTCACAACTCTTTTATCCCTAACCACTCAGTTGAGGGGAATCTATCCACAGACGGACAAGTGACACAGGGCCAAAATAAGGCACACAATGGCATTTGATGAGCCAAGCACTTCTTAGCCTTCATCTGTAAACGGAGCCTCATCTGTCTTGGTTACAATGAGTAAAATTTTAAGCAATGCTTTATACGTGTTAAAAAATTTCTTTCCATTTGGTTTTAATGTGGAACAAAAATTAAAGAAAGACATTTGGAAGGACAATTATATTGAGTTACCAAATCTGGTCCCTAGCTTTAACGAAAATCAGGAAGACGAAATTTTGTTAAAGTTAAAACGTTTCAAAATTTCAACAAATGCAAAACACAAACAATTTGTATCAATTCACCAATGGTCTGAAGCATTTGATATTTTCATGTCAGTGTACATTACAAAGCATTCTGATACAGCATTTGGTCTCATTTAATATGCCAACAATATAAGATGCATGTCGACGCAATTTGCTTTTTTCTATGGCAAGGGCCTTTGAAGAAAATTTCCGTAAGGTGCGCAAAGTGATGTTCTTCGATTGGGCAGTTGTAAATGAAGACGTTTGGAGGTCGGCTTTTTATGACCATGTAAATATAGGGCAGGACACCAATATACAAATATACCACATTCGAGTCGGGTAAACAATCTCAAGTCTCAAAACATCCCTTCCAAAAACGGATTTAGCAATCCAAACATCAGTTCTCCTCAGAATGGGCCTCTGCTGCACCAAGTCCGGATACACACAGAGGCGTTACAAATTGTATAAGGAACAAGAGTCCAAAGCCCGGGGTAGGAAAGCTGCCACTGTCAATAATGGGCTTCAGGAGGGGATGTGTGGGGCAGACCTACCCATGCAGCATACAATAGTGGATGAGTTCATATGGGCTCGGGAGGAGATTCCCTCTGTAAGAATGGTCTGCTGTGAACTAAACCAGTACTTTAAAATGACACTCGTCACTTGTCTGAGAATATCAGAAAGTCAATTGTAAAGGATAAAACTCTTAAAGATCATGCCAAGAAGAACAATTTCTTTCATAAATTGCTCTTGATGTTGTCGACAGATGCACGGCAGAGATAAACCAAGCCCAAGTAGCATATGCCGGAGATGCAGATAAAATGAAAAACAAAATCTCTAATGCCAAAAATGCAATACTGAAGTGTTACATGTAATGGGAGATTATGCAATTTGCTTAAAACACTCTGTAGTGTGTTAGAGCAGAGTTAGTAAAAACTGGGTTAATTATGTCAACATTTTACTATACCGTCTTCTGCCTAGAACGAGGCAAGGCCCTTTGCCTGCATCTCAAAGAGGTTGTCTCCAACTGTACTGGTCAGGACAATCAGAACTCACAGAAAGTCGACAGCTTTAACAGAATTTTCACGTTGAAAACTTAAACAAGTAAGTTTATCATGTTTTTATGTCAGTTGAAAATTCAAAAATTGATGCTTTTTGTGAAGCTCCCTGGATAAAGGAATGAGAAGATAGTTCAACTGCTTCAGGCATTTAGAAGTGGACAACTAACCAGTCTAGAGTTAAACGAAAAACTGAAAGAACCAAAGATTAGTGATTAGTGACTCTTCATAACCTTCATATTATTTACAAAATAATACAAAAAAAGGATCATAATTTCAAAGTAGAGTCTGTTAGGATTGGACTTTTGTTAATTCTATTTACAGGTAGCAACATGCAGTTGGAAATGAGGTAATCTAAATGAAGAAAATACGCCCCGCAGGTGATTGCAACTTTTGACTTTGTGCACCGCCTCCTGTTTGTAGAGTACGAGGAAGAGTTGTAGTTTGTGGACCGCAAGAATGCGTATCGTGTTCTGGAAGAACTTCAGAAGGGGTTTTGGATTGTGGGCGTTATGGGTTGATCTATCTAAGGATTGGGGGATGGAATGGTGTTGTTGGATGCAATTAGGTCTTGTATTGTTGGTTGATTTTGATTTATTGTATGAAGGATATGTAGATAACGAACAGTATCCAATCTCAAAGTCCATAACACACATATGGTGGTTGATGGGTGTCATCAGTAAGATCTGTAGCTGGCGGTGGGTCTAAAATCTTGTGATGGACTGGATCATTATATGGCGAGTCTTATTAAGGTGATTGGATGAGCTTTTTCTCTCTTTTTCTTTAACCAGATACTAAATTTGGTGGATAACTATACCTCTAAACTGTATTTAGGAATGTACAAAATTAACGATCAATATATATAAATATACATTTTCACTAGGGATGTCAAATCGATCTTCTTTAAATACTCGGTTACTCGGACGTTTTTTTCCGATTGAGTACCCGAGTACTCGGTAAAAGTGTAAATAAAAATGAACAAGTATAAACTAATGACTGTAAAACAGTGTAAACTCTTGTAGAAATAAAACCACATGCTCTGATAGGACCCGTAAATGTATTTTTGTTGTAACAATGATGAACACTTCATGCCCGACGAAATTTTATATAACATTTTTTAAAGTTCAATTTGTATATTAGATAAACTCAAGAAATAAAATCATAAGTGGTTCACAGTATTATTGTTTTAAAAGAAAGAAAGAAACTTACTTTTCACAATTTGCATGGTTTGGTTGAAGAATTTTTTTAGCCTTATTTAGGATGGCTTTCCATGGTGTATTCAATAAACTATTTTATTCGGTCGGCGCGATAGATCCAGGGCATATATTGCTTTTATTCTTTCTGTCTGTTTGTCTGCAAACTTAAACCTTCATTATAACTTTTGAATCATAAGAGAAAAAGACTATTTGGTATGCAGACTTTACTTATTAACCTCTTTCACATGACAACAAAGTCAATGACTGTGTCCTTGACTGCGACTTACATGCTAAAAATAGCTCTTTTGTCTGGATACTTTAACCTTCGCTCTAACTTGTGAACCATGAAAGAAAAAGACTTCATATTTGGTATGAACATGCACTAATTAAGGACACAATGACCTTGACTCTGACTTTTATTATGCTAAAAACAGCTTTTAAACCTTCGCCTAAACTTTCGATCCATAGGAGAGAGAGACTTTATATTTGGTATGCAAACACCACTTATAAAGTTCTTTCTAATAATTATAAAAATGCTGATATTGTCCACAAAGCAGGGCTTTCCCTGCACTTGCTCAAGTTGTTTGCAGACCCCGCCTGTTTTTTCCAATTTTTCCAGAAAGGGTAGTTTCCCGAAAACATACCATTAGATTAATCCCTGTGGTATGGGTGCATAGTGTTTCAAAAACACATCTTGTATTGCAGCTAAAAAACCTACAGGAAGACTATAAAGCTGTCCTGATGAGGAAATGGGAGGACGAGATAAGGAATTTCTCAGCCCCTCCTTTGACAACCTTTGCTGAGACTCTGTCAAAAGAGGACAGACAGAGAGTGTCCATCTGAGTGTCCATCCTTAATTATTTTAAGCATGTTCACAAAGTGGATTAACATTTACTTGATATTTTCCATGGAAAACATGATCATTACGATTATAAGAGGTTATGCTATATAACTTCTCTTTCAGATTCTTCGGTCATCGGTGAACCCGACTGGATACTGGGTTTGCTTTCTCGAAAAAAATAAGAAAAAAAACATTTTTCAAATGGAAGAGGAGTTTTTCGTTATGGTTGGGGACATTGAAAGGACAATTACTGATCCAATGTTAGAGACTGAAGGAACAAGAATCTATTACAAGTTTTCAGATTAACATTGTAACCATACCGGTAGCAAC